TTAAAAAAAAAAAAAATTACATATAAGCCAGGTGTGGTGACACCGCCTACAGTTCCAGCTACTAAGGAGGTTGAAGTGAGAAGACAGCTTGAGCACATGTGAAGCTGCAGTAAGCTATGATTGTACCATTACACTCTAGCTTGGGCAACAAACGGAGATGGTACCTCTTAAAAAGAAAAAAAAAGGTATCAGAGCTTGATACACACAGCCACATATGCACATAGATGCATAGAACTGAAAAGTTTCACAAAGCAACATCCTGTGAACAATATGTTAATATTTGCTATTCTGTTTATTTTTCTTTAAATAACAAATGCTAGACTGAAACTTTAAATTGCTTTCAGTGGATCATGATGATGTGTAGTTTGAAAACCATCAATCTCAATCAACTTGCTTGCTTTATCAACAGTGAAACTTAGAGGGGCTGTGTCTTGTCTATGGTGGTATGATTGATTATAAAAGTGAGATAGAAACCCAGGACTTTGGGCTCCCAGGTCAGACTTCTTTGATTTTACTAAGTTGACTTTCACACTGTGTTATCCTTAAAACACATACAAAACTTTTTAATCTCCTTAACTGTCAATGTTTCCCAAATCTCAAGTCACGGACGCTTATTATTATCCTTTCTACTATTTCTGGGAGAGTACACTCTGTATTCAGCCATTCAGATGGTCGACTTCATGAGAGCAGAGGGCTTACCTGTCTTGTTCTCCACTATACCTTCAGCATGCCTGGCTCATAATAGATGCTCAACATATTATTAACATATTACTGTTGAATGAATAATTCCACTATTGTGGATTTAGGCTACTATCTCATTATTGATAATTTTGAAATATAAATACATATTCCTTTTTTACATCTAAGGTCTAATTTTGAATTCCATTACATGACCTGCTTTCATATTCATGCACCCTAATTTTCAAGGACCAGATCCCCTTTTCAAGACACTATTTGTCATTTCTAACTGAACATGTGTAAAACCAAACTTATCACATTAAATGCATCTTTTTCTACGTCTATTGAAGGTACTAACAATATCTCAGGTATTTGGGCTAGGAATTCTCATGTTGGAGGGTTCACAAACTCAAATTTTCTCAAAAAGCAGGCAGGAAACAAATGTTTGACTCACTTAAATAGAAGGAAAGAGAGAGAGGTAGGGCTGTAGCCAAACCAGAGAACACAGCACTACCTAAAACTTTCCTTGGCCCTCTGTTCAACTTGTGGTCCATGAATCTAACACTGTATTTTAAAACAAAAAACAGCAGTTCTAAACAGTGAAACTGTCAATATGGTATTATTCAACTCCAATCCATCCCCTTCTACCCTTTATAGTTAAAGTCCTTGATTGTCTCCGTCACCTTAGGGTATTCAGAATCTTTTCCTGTGTTTATGCAGTAAACTTATTTCCAAATGAACATATAGCTGACCACAATGTAGGGGCTCACTGCTGTGTCCTGCTCTTTCTGATCACCAAGTAAACACTATGGCTGCAGCTATTTTCTGTTACTGAAAATATATGTTGATGCTTATAATAAGCATCAAGTATCAAACACCTCTCAAAAATCATTCAAGCCAGCCAGGTGCGGTGGTTCATGCCTGTAATCCCAACACTTTGGGAGGCCGAGGCAGGGGAACTGATTCAACCTGGGAGGCAGGGGTTGCAGTGAGCCAAGATCGCACCCTTGCACTCCAGCCTGGGCAACAAGAACGAAACTTTATCTCAAAAAAAAAAAAAAAGACACTGTCATCTCCAAATATGAGAGATAAGGTTAGCTATCAAGACTAGAAGACCTAGATTTGAATCATTTCTGAGGTTTCTGTTCACATCAATAAACTAGATTCTATAAAACACTCTAAGGTATTTCTTTGAAAGCAGTCATCTTAAAGTAGGAATGCAAACAAAATTGTCCAGGTACCCATTGTAAGATGACATCAGTGGGCTACCTGTTTCCTGGCAATTTTACTTTGTGGAGTAAATAACCTTTATTACCTTGAAAGGTCTTAAAAGTTATAGAAAACATGTCAAAGCATCCAAAGTTTACTTTCAACTTCAACATCCTAGAATGGCTATAAAAATAAAAAACTGCAACGATTTATAGATTCTGATGCCCAACATTTTACAGACTGGAGACTGTAACTCCCCTCTGTGGCTTAAAAGGTTGACACTATTCATTTTAAAAGGATTGTCTGCACACCTATAGGCCCCTAAGGATTTAGCTACAGCAAGAATCCTGTTTAAATCACCAGAAAGGGAATAAATGAAAAAAGGAAATTCAAATGCTCAAAGGAAACAGCACAATCAATTAAAATTTCTATTTTAATACATTTGTTATAATAGAGTAGGCTTACAGAAGCATTTATATTCTCACATTTTGTTATTTTTATATGTTCAAAGGAAGAGAAGAATGATCATTTTAAACCAACTACTTGAAATTATTTCCCTTATTGTTACCTTACATTCACAAAAGCAGTGTCTATTAAAGGCAAGAGTCCACACATCAATAGCTTTTCTCCCCATGAGTATTTCTGAATATGTAATAGGCAGACTGTAAATATGGGAAAAACAATTACTCCTTAGGGAATGAAGAGACACAGCATATGCTATTGATTCAATGAATCAGAGATATAGTGGGAAAACACAAATCAAATCTAAGTTTGACTGAATGTTTATAAGACTGGGAACTAGGGCTGTACTTTGTTTATAGGAAAAAAAAAGTGTGCTCCTTATGAACAGAAACAGCTGCTATGCTGGAAACTTCATCTAATAGACTTCCTACTGTTTGGCTGCTTTCAGAAAATTCTTCCTACTTGAAATAAGAGATCAAAGATTCTATCAAAACTCATTTCAAATTTAATAATGAAATCTGGTCTACAATCAAACATAAAGAATATGTAACTTGAAAGCACTACATAATCAGTATA